TGCTGGGCTACTCTTCCAGATATTGGCCTTGCCATGTCGAATAGAAAGGTCACTTTACCAAACAGAGAAATATCAATTCACTGGTGAGGAACTGATATGTGACTGGGAACATTTTCCCATTATTTTGTACATTGTAAGTTCCTTTTGGAGAACTCCTAATCAAAAAGCAGGAGTCTGAACGATCATTGCCAAAAAAAGTGTCACTCCGTCCTTGTTGAAATCCTGGCTTTTGATCTGTCCTTGCATCCCTTTGCTTTAGAAACATGATGAGCTTTTGCTTATCTACCTGTTTGAATCTTATGTACATACCTTGGATTGTCTATTGAATATATTGTAATTTAATGTCTTTCTCCATTCTTGACCTCACTCCTGATTAGCCTGGTAGCCATATTCTAAACAGGGTATACACTGACACATGTCATTGTACTATTTTTCTACTTGAATACCACCAAGAAAGAGAGTAGTTATATATAATATGCAAAGTAAGTCCTTATGCCCTAACCAAGGAAGGTGAAGTTGAGAGAATAAAGCACTACGTGTCTGATACATATATGTTACAAGATTACTAACATACACAAACACATGTATGTGTGTGTGTGTATAATGATATTGCATTTTTTCACTACTTAACAAAATTATTTTCAACAAAAAACCAGGTGTTAGGTGGACAAGCATAAATCTGTAGCAGCTGTATAGAGATCCATATACAAGAGGAAACAGATGGCTTGGAGAGTGTGTACACAGCATAGTTGGCAATGCCTTTAAAGAAGCTGCATCTTTTCCAAGGGTCATATGTATGTCTACTGCAACTTCAGTATGATTGGATGTAATAAGTTTAAGGAATTGTTGACAGATACTATGCAAGCATGCTCTGAATCAGTTCTCTGCTAAGTCATTCTAAACAGAGTTATCTGATACTATAGGAATAATCTTTTAATATTGGGCTTATTTAACCAGCAATTTTAAAAAAATGAAAGTGCCTACCTGGTTAATAAAATAAAAATAATGATATTTAATTAAACTGTTCAAAAGACTTTCAAAGTTTAAAGAATATTTAAAATTTCTCCTTAGTTGAGCATAGGTTGCTTAATCTGGTATGGAATGAAAAAAAAATGAGTTCATTTAATTTGTAGAACAATACATAATCTTAAATTAATGGAGATGCTGGTTTCACTTTACTCTTAAACAGCAAACAGCTATTCACTCGACCTAGTCCTATTTTTTTCTGTGCCAATTAACAGACTCCTAAGCAGTACAGCACAAAAGTGTTTTTACTCACCACAAAATGCAAAAACTAAGACATTATTTTAAACTAGACAAGTCATTATAGTATATATTACAATTAGAGCCTGTGACAAAAATATCAGATCTGAAATATTGTGTTACATTACTGAGGAATGGATAGAACAAGGTATTGCAAAGTGACAAGAAGATAACAATTTCGGCTGATTGGTTGATACAGTGTAATATTTTAAAGAAGGAATAAGGTTTTGAAAAAACATTTGATTTACTTTTATTTTTTAATTTGTAAGCTAATTACACTGACTTCTCAAGGTAAGTAATGTTTTTATCTCTATTTCCTTCATTTTCCAAAAGAGTGTAACATACTGAGCACTACTTCGTTTACCTTTAAATTACATATTCCTCTCAGTACATATCTATTTGGTATAGCTATTAGCACATTTTCAAACATTCCAAAAGATATCTGCCAAAGCTGATGTAACTCTGTATTATTTAATGTTTGTCCTCCTAAGTTTTTCAATTTAGAATATTTAAACTATCAGTCTAAGAATGTTAGATTAATCAATCTGGATCAGTCTAAGCTTTAGATTATCATCTTTGCATTTTGAAAATAAAACTGTCCAATACTTTTGGAAGTATTATTTGAATTCCATACACTTTTCCTTTAATAACCTTAAATCTTATATAGTTTTGCAGATATGCAAAATCTAAATTTACAGTTCTTAAAAATACTATGATTATACCTTTGAAAAATTTGAGTAGATATCCCTCTGGTCTCTCATAAACTGAGACATTCTGCAGAGTATATTATTTGCTCATTACTTTTACTGTGATTACTCAATCCACGTTAGGATTGGTTTTGCTCAGACACACCCTTTTTACAATAATCCCAGTAATTACATTGTGATTGTTATTTTGTAATAATATCCCCAAAGTAGGTTCACATTGTCTTCTCTGAAGTGCCAAAGCTATTGGCTATTCCTCTTGTTGACTGACAAGAGAGAGAACCTCTGTTCAGAATCTACATTCTAATATTCCACAGGGGTAAAAGATATTTTCTCTCTCTCTGAGTGACACATTTTTCTTAGTTCTGGAGGAAAAGCCCATGTTTCCTCTCCCCATTACACTGATGGTAGACCTTGAAGCCCTCCCAAATACATCCCTGCCCTCAACTTCGATATCCACATACTCCTTGTCCAGTCAGATATGTAAGCAGATAAACTATGCAATTGCTAGTATGGGGTACACATCTCCAAATCTGTGGGCTGAGTTTTCCAAAAGATTAAAAAAAACCCTTGAATTAAAATTGGGAAATCTGCACCTGCCATTTGGTGGGTAATTGCTTTCCTCTTTCACTTAGAGCTGCCACCCTGTTAATTACCTCTTACGGTGCAGTCTTATCTATTCAAGCATGCCTCAGCCACTTCAGTCTTTCATCTTGATCATACCACATTGGCTTACCTTATCCCCAGCTCACAAGCTAAGCAGCCTTATGTCACAAACCTGAATGTTGCAATAATTTCCCCCCTTAATCTTTCCTGCCCAACCCACAGTTTCAAGATGTGAAAAATCTAGAATGCTTTTCCACCCATTACTTTGGAGGAGAAGTTAAGTGGCATGTGTGACTACAGGTGTATTTTAAGCATGTTGAATAGTGTAAACATATGTTCTTCCCTGTAATCACTAACTGGTCTCCACAACTCTTTGAGTTTGCACTTTCAAATTAGTGGTTTGTTTCCTACTACCTATCAGCTCCCATTTCTGAAATCTAGTTTTCTTTAATTTTCAATCAGGCACAGGGGAGAAAAGCATGCTATTTTCTTCTGCGGAAAAGGTGTATTTGTGCAACTCTGAAATGGCATCAGTGGGGAGAACTTATCTAAATGTAACACTCCCACTTTTCTTCATAGCAGTGTCCTGAAAATAATGGAAGACCCTAACAATAGCTTTTATTTTTGCCAGTATCTCTGCATTTGTTAGTTTCAACCACTTTTGCCAATAAAGAGAAAGGCATCTACTCAACTTCAGCAGCTAGTTAATTTCCATTTTAAAAAAACTAACTAGCTGAACAATAAGACATTTGTTGCTTTTACTCTTTCTCAGGTGCTTCCCCCCGCCCTTGCTGTCTATACTGATCAAAATAGAATCTGATTGCACTCCTTTAAGGTTTTTTGGAGACAAGTAGTTTTGATTAGGAGCTACCTTCTAATGTGTTTCTTCATTTAACATTATTTTTAACTTACAAGAAGTTCAAATGGATTGTGAGAGGAGGGTAGACAAAACAGTTTAGAGAAGCTGAGAGGAACTTGCAGAATTGCTTAGTAATGTCAGATTCACTCCCATTTGTTCATTATTGTCTCAGGTGTTGCATCGTTTGTTGTAGGATATTCTTGTACTGAAGGGGATGGCAGCAAAACCAGAGGAGGAAACCAGTTGGAATGCTTATAATGAGACACGATAACCCAGTTTGGCAGATAGCCGCAACAGAAACGTGAGAGGGATTAGTAATGTGGATATCCAATTTTACGATAGCATTGTTTTGTGCTGACATAATGAGGCTTTCATACTACTTTAACTTAATATTGGGGAAATGGACTCTACATTCAGTGAAACCTATTCCCTAGTAAAATGGCATAGGATTGCTGCATAATTCTGATGGAGACTCTACATCATAAGTACCAATTTTTAAATCAATTTCAGGTCTTTCTATCAATTTGGTATACTATTTTAGCTTTTAGAAAGAGAAGCAGAGATTTTCCATTTGCAGGTTCCCTTAAAAGCCATCTCTATGTTATATGGCCGTACTTGTAAAAAAAGAAAAAATTCAATGCGAGGTGGGCACTGCAGCATAACACTAAGAGGGAAAAATCTATGGAAGGCCATCAGTTGTTTCATTAGAGAGGAAATGCTGCCACTAGGGGTTCAGCATAACTTTTTTTCAGTGTTCAGCAATTTCTGCATCTCATTTTATGGTCTGACCAAATAGAAGACAGTTTACAGCTTAGACAGGAAATCAAATGAAAACCTTGGAAAAGAAAGAATGGAAAGCTGATTTTAACAAGCAAACACTGAATGTAGTTATGGCTATGGAGCAAAGCAAATCTTAACACCATGTTTCAGATCACGTCAAATAATCAGAAGAGTTCTAAATATGCTATCTACTGCCCTTGGCACTAACAAACAGGATGCAGAAAAATTATACTTCTGGTATAATGGATTAGAAACAGAACTGGTACAGTATAACCTGACTTTAAGGTTAACACTTTATTCTTCAGCATCTTCATTTGAAATAGTACAAAGTTGAACCCTACTAAAGCATGAAACCATGGAAATGGTGGGGGGATAGGGCAATAGCAAGCTCCACTTGTTGCAAGTAGCTATACTGTGAAATGCAACAGAGCCATAATTGGAAAAAAAAAGTGGTAGCTATAGAAGACGCAGAAGTCATCGAAACAATGTTGGTAGCTTCCCTTCTTATTGGAAATTTTGCTGCAGTGAGTCACGACGCTTGCACAATAGGTTTGGAAATGGCTTCCAGTCTCGGCTTTGTTTGTTTCGTTTTGCACAAGAAGTTCAGGAACTCGCATTGTCTCCTGTGGAAAGGGGGACAAGCCTTGTCCCCCTTGCGCGTGCTCCCTCGCCTTCTTCCCGAGCAGACCCAGCGCTTCTCCTTCGCGCGTGCCGTCCTCCTGGCAGGTCACGCTCAAAGTGATGCAATGGAGATACGCGCTGCGCCTTTAAGGGGGCTCCTCGGCTGCTGCACATGCTCAGCTCTTCTTTGTGTAGTACTTTCTTTCTAGAGCTCCTCTGCAAAGCTGGCGGGGAGGCTGAAGCAGCAGCGAGCACGGCGTTGCAATCCCAAAGACGGAGATTTTCCTTTCGATCTTCAGGCCGCCGGAGTCTGGGGCAAGAACTTTCCGGGGCGGGAGGGAAGCGCGCTCCCCTCACTTTCAGCTGGGCTCAGAAACGGAAGGGAGTCTTAGTCTCTCCATCCTTTCCAGTGCAGTTGCTCCAGCAACGGGGATCCTGAACTGGAGTCTCTTGCGTCTTCCTGGCTGGGGATACCTCCAGAGAGAAGAGCCGCCGTCGCCGTCCTTCTCCCTGGCTGAGGTGGGGCCTGCCTGGTAGTCAAAAAGAAAGGGACGGGTCTAATCAGACCCGGCGGAGCGGGAGGGGGAAGAAGGAAGAGGAGGGATTCGGCCCCAGCCAGCCTCTGAAAGCAGATTACAATTAGCCTTTTAAAAATGGCTGCTTTAAAACTGTCAGCTGGGACAGACGAAGGCTTTTAACTCTCGCCCTTCCTTCCCACCCCCGCTTGGACGGCGGGGAGCAGAACCCGGAGCCGCTGCTAGCCTCCTGTCTCCGGCCCGCCGCTCTGGGATGCTGGGAAGACGCTGAGGAAATTTTCACGCTGCTCTCTCCCGGCGCCCTCCTGCCTGGAAAGCGAGCATCCCCTCCGCTGCCGTCCTTGCTCCCCGCTGCCGCTGCTGCAAGAGTCGGACTACAGAAGACGGGGGAGGTTTTGCGGGCGCGGGGAGAGAGGGGGACGGAGAAGGGGCATGTTGTGAGAGGAAGCGACAAGGGCAGGAAAGAAGCCTCTGCTCATGGAAAGCGGAGGGCAATGAGCCCTAAGGACGACGAGGAAGAGGAGGCGGGAAGCTGGTCGCCAGCGTTGTACCTGAAAAACAGGGCAGAGGTGTTGTGAGAAGCGTGGGGGAGAAGGTTTTCGATTTCTTATTTAACTAATTATCTTGAGGACTCCACAGCCCGTTCTCCGCACCCCCCGGAAGATCTGCTCTGTTTCTTCACCCTGATGAAAAGCGCCTTCTTTCTGATCTGAGTGATGTGCGTGGGGTGGCTTTGCTCCTGGTAGAACCTGCCCAAGGAACTGGATTAATCAGTCTTCCTGCTCCCATCCCGGCTCTTTAGGCAGGCGGGTTGCGGATGTGCTTTGTGGCAAAGATGCTGGATCTGTTGGGAAAAGTCCTGCGCAGAATAGGAGGCCCTCCTGTAATTCTTGGAGCCTGGAGACCTTTTTCTTGTTCCTCCTGCTGCTTTTCTACCTTCATGGATATAAATAACTGGCTGCTCTTTTATGGAATTCTCTACCTGGTGCTGTATGCCCAAGTTTCTCAGTCTAAGACTTGTGAAAGAACCTCGTGCTTTTCTGGTCGATGTGTCAATTCCAGCTGCCTCTGTGATCAAGGCTGGGTGGGGGATCAGTGCCAGCACTGCCAAGGCAGGTTCAAGTAAGTCTTTTGATGCTACCCTTTTTATGGTACTAGTTTTAGAGCTAGTTCATAACAAGACAGAAAATACCTGCCAGGGCTCCCCAGACCACAGTGTAGTTGGTTTTAGTGAAAAGATTTCAAGAATAAAATAGAATCTTGGTGGTGGTGTTCTTGTAATAATTCTATGTCATCTATTATTCTAAGTTAACAAGAAGTTAATGAAAGTATTTTTTTTCAAAACAATGCTATTTAAAATGTTCTTAAATAACTCTCAAATTACATTTAACATTGTCTGATAAGCCCTTATGGACTTTTTCTGGGAAACAGAAAAAAATGAACATACGATCTGTGGTTTTGATGATTAGATAGGATAGATTATAGAAAGAAGAGAGTTATGATGTAACTTTAGAGAAAGATGTAAATCTACAATTGTACTTATATTGTACTACTGCTGAAAAGACCGGAAGCTACTTTTTTATATATTTTTTTCTTTTCTATTTTTCTTCTATCTTTTTTTTTCTTTTTGCACTTAGCTTTTTCTTTTATTCCTTTTTCTTTTTTCCTTCTTACTCCTTCTTTTTTCCTTCTTAGTTTGTATTAATTTTTACTCTTGTTTTTAAAACTTTCTATAAAATTTTAAAAAATTAAATAACTCTCAAAGGTGCAGACTATTAAGTCAGAAATGCCTAATAGTCTGTGGTTTTGCTTACGATGTCATGGATTCTCTAAAAGTGATTATTGCCATCTTCAGCAATTTGACAAAACTGTTTCTTAAAACTGAATGGGTGAGTCAAAAGTATTAGCAAAAGAAGATTGACAACAAATATTGAGATCCCATGACTGTCTTCTCCATTTGTAGTAACTACTTCTTCTCCTCGACATACTGGCTAGCAATGATAGCCAGTTTGATATATTTAGAGACACCAGGTTGGAGATTAGCCTAGTGAATAAAGTTAACGAAGTGGAGCTTGGGAAATTGTCTTCAGTCCTTATGATCTGGGGTTTAACATTATGCAAGTTAGTTTGTTGCTCCATGCTTTCTTGTTTAATGATTTGTAAAAGGAGTTACACTTACTATTGGACACTGAACAGTGGTCTAAACTTTAATAGAATGTGACACCCAACTGCTAAATAAAACACCAATGTGTATACTATGGCTATTTGGGGACACTGGGTAAAAAACCCCATAGATTAAGTAGTATCTGTATTTTGGTATGATAAGGAACTGGATAGAAGCCACATCTTACAGAAATATGATTTCTGTACAGTGAGTGTTGTCCCCCACCCCATTTCCCTTAAAGTAGTGAAAACATACTTGCCTGAAGAAAAAGTTTTTTTCTGAAGAAAACCAGAATTTCAGGTGACAATTTTCATTTGTATATGAGAAGTTTTTAAGATAAATCTTCAGTATCACTCAGAACATTCATCTGCTGATTCTAATGTGATTCCTGAAAAAGATTAGCTTATATGAGTGTTAGATGTATACTTTTTACTTCTGGTACTACTTAGGCAATTCCCTGCCATAACATGTATAAACCTTAGAGTTTATATCATAACATATGAATCATGACAGTAATCAGTGTATCCTGTGAAGATATGAAATGCAGTTATCTATACCTCTTGATGGGATTTTCTTGATTATTTCCTGTATTTGCCACATACAATATTAACACTGTCAGAATGAATATTAGACCAAGTTTACTTGTGGACAACAATCAAGATTTCCTCCCTCTGGCAATGCATTAGGATGATCTGACCATGTTCAGGGTATAATTCTCCGCCTGCAAAATAGCAATAAGGTTTCAATATAAGGAATTTCAGGGCTTTGGAGGAAGTAAAAAATAACTGATCCTTGCATATGTATTAAAAATGATAACACGTGAGTCACTTGAACAATAGATTTGGAAATGCCTTTGTAACAATAAAAGAAAAAGACTGTACTGGAAGAAAGGTTTATTAGGCAAAATCAAGTGTTGGGTTATGCAGCTGTCCTTCTCTTATAATCCTAAATTAACTGCATAGCACTTTGAAGTGAAGAAATATAGTATGATTGATTTTCCCTTCCTGATAATATGAAAGTCACCTGTTACTCATATGTTTAACAAAATACTTAGCCTATATTCCTGATGCCTTATATAATATTTATTTGCCACTTAACAAGGAGCTTTTATCTGAGAATAGATATAGTTGCAAGTGCAACTTGAAATCATTGTAGCATCTTTTTAAGCCTACTCTGAATTAACTTGCTTCCTTATTTTATTTAAAACTGACTCATGATGTTGGACCCAGCCATTTTTCCTGCCTAATTAACATTCCTCCCCCCCCTCTGCTTTTTGTGTAATGTTTGAGAGTTCTGAGGAACTAAAAGTTGCAAACTATTCTGTGTTTTTTTCCTGGGGGGCAGATATCACCATATCATGGAATTCAGAGTTTTACACCAATATTTCTCTTTATAAGAAAATTGTTTTAATGCACATTTGTTATAGTGTTTTGCTAATGTGAGCAGTGCTTCTTAGTACACTTCTGTCTGTATTTGACAGCAACCTAGTCTGAAGAAGAAATATCTAAAATTTGAACTTGCCAGAGTATCGAGAAGGTTAATACATATTGTACTAAAATGACTGCATGCTGAACAGTTGATTTAACTTGAATGCACGATTTCTGTAAGGATGATAAATAACTTAATTTAACTATAGTATGGAAGTGTGCAGGCCACAGACAGATTTTGTAGGAGTAATGAGTTAGTATATGACTAGACCAGCTTATGGAGATTACTTCTGCCAGTGTTACAAAGGTTACCCTATTTCATAGCTTGTACAACTTAAGGTTATCAGACTGCAGAGAGCCTTCTTCAGGATGGAATTGGGGCTGCTTCACTAGAGATATATCCTAAGCAATATGATCTAATTGGGAGAAATGTTTTAAATGTATTAAATGTAAATGTATTAAAACACACTCATTGGTATTTTAAAGTGTTTTTTTTAATGTTTTATGTCTATTTTTAAAAAAATATAAATACCTTGAACCTTTTGTTTTAAGGGATAGTGTATACAGTTTAATAGAACTTTAAATCATTTAATTTTAAGGCTTGGATTTATTCCATGATTTGTCAATGGATTCAATAATATGAGGATCTTGTACCTTCCCATTCTCAGATTCAAAGTGGTATGTAGTTTATTTATTTATTTGTTTATTTTTTATTTATACATAGACTTATCCCCGCCCATCTCCCCACAGTGGGGGACTCTGGGCGGTTTACATCAAGTTAAAACAATAAATACATGATCAAAATTTATAAAGTTAGCTTAGATCATTGTAAAATGAGTGATTGACATTAGCAAACACTACTGGTATTAATACTCTGAAAGAATCAATCTGGGCAACTGGGTGTTAATTCTCATGTGAGGTTTTTTTTTTAGCTGAAAAAGAGTAGCTTAGCAGACATATCAGCAATGATTGATCAATCTTGATACGCATGTGTCAGCGTTAATTGACTGGTTCCATGGTAACGTGCCATTTCCTCTACAGGGAATTTGTTAAAATGATAAAATTATTCTTTGAAAGGTGCTCTGAAAGGGATGAATATTAAGTGATAAAAAAGAAGCAGTTGGGGTTCAAAGGACTAAGAGTTTGAAGAGTAACTACCTGTTATTTTGAACAAATTATCACTGTTTCATTAAAATGTCATGCTTCGGACCATTCCCTTTTACCTTGAAATGTCAAATAAAGATGACTATGCTAGAACTTAATGAACAAATCATCATACAACTTTGGCTAGAGTGAGGAAAAGGGAAAAGATGGATTTTGAAAGGTAACAGACTTATGATACTAATATTAAAAATATAATTAAATATAATATAAATCTACAGGTTCTTTTGTACTTCTGTTGAACTTTACGACAGTCTCCTCCGTGACTCTTTCCAGTCAATTTGGGCTTAGAAACTGAAAGTAAACATATCACTTTTTTGTCCGTTCAAAATGCTCATGTCCAAAGGACACTGAAATCTGGTCCTGGTCAACCATTTATTTCTTATTTCCAATTTGCTTCCTTAGGCTGTTTGCCCAAGGATCCATGTGGCTCTCCACTTCTGCCATTATCAACTACTTTGCCAGAACAGAATATTCAAAGTATTAGTAAAGATGTGAGAATTTTGGCATTTCAAATTCCTGAAGAATAGTCATATTTACAGCATTAAAAAATGCTATATAAAATAAAAGGTTTGTTTTATGTACTTATATAAAACTTACGCTGGAATGATCTTTCTTTATACTCTTCAGTGTGGAAAGTGGACTAATGGCACAGAATGTTACATCATGGATGCTAAAACAAGTTAAAACACAATGTCCTGGAGGGCAATCTGATAATTGTCACATTAACATCTCTTTGTTAACCAGACCAAATCTATGAGGTGGCACTTTTGCGTTACCTTGTTTGTTTAAAAAAAATGCAAAATAAAACATTGACTTTGTTTTTAAGTCTTCAAACTTTATATGAGGAAAATACTAATTATATTTTTAAACTATCCAATAACAAAAGCTATTTATCTGATTTATTTTTTGTAATATAAATAGGCCAGACTTCCAGTGAGGTTTTCTAGGCTTAATCCAGATTAAAAAACACACGCAAAGGTGTTTGCTATGTCATTAAAGCATGTATATTTGTATGCATTTATTATAAGCATTTTGAGGCTGCTTCAAGTAGTAAATCTGTGACATATGAATGAAAATACAATGTATATAACAAATATCAATAGCCATAATTTAATCAAACTTTAAAACCACAATAGATGACTTCACACATACCCAAGGTACCAAAGTAATTCCTGAATGCCTGCTTGAATATCCAAATTTTCAGTAGCTCCCTAAATGCTAATAATGAGGATGGAGTTCTTATTTCAAGGGTAAATGGTTTCACAGAAGGGTAACTTTGCCAGAGAATGTTGCTTTCAACTGCTTTTCACATGATGCTTTGACCCTGGATCAATGGAAGTCATTACATGGTGGAATAAATTTCTTTT